TTGACTTCAAAAAGCTTGTCCGCCCAATTACTTAAGATTCCTTTGACCCATAGTCTTCATATTTGGCATGGAGGTTAGTCATGATTAGTAGATGACCCCTATTGATTTTGAGGTCACCAGGTCAAAGGTCAAGGTCACAGGGACTTTGACTTCAAAAAGTTTGTCTGCCCAATAACTTTAGATTCCTTTGACCCACAGTCTTCATATTTGGCATGGATGTTGATCATGATTAGTAGATGACCCCTTTTGATTTTGAGGTCACTGGATCAAAGGTCAAGGTCATAGGGACTTTGACTTCAAAAAGTTTGTACACCCATTAATTTAACATTCCTTTGACCCACAGTCTTCATATTTGGTATGGATGTTGATCATGACTATAAGGTGACCCCTATTAATTTTGAAGTCACTGGGTCAAAGGGCAAGGTCACAGGGACCTTGACAAAACTTAGCAATCCACTGGCTTAGTAATCTCAGATTTGGCAGGGAGGTTGTCCTTGAGCTCTAAATGGCCACTGTTGATTCTGACAAAGTGGTATGCGGGGGTATTCACGCCATGATAGTGGCAGTTCTAGTTTCTCATAGCTAATTATTAGCATTACTTTTAGAACGGGTCTCCCGTTAAGGTTGCTGGGGATGGGACATATAGATTTGCCCTGCTGTTCTCCTGTTAACGCTGTAGACTAAACAGTGGAATGTAAAGGCTTCGATGACTTACTGTTTGTCTTGCCTTTGTGAATTATGATATGATAAAATTTATTTATCAGGTGTCTTCTATATTCTTTTTTCAATTTATGGAATTGAAAAAAAAATCAACATAGCATAAAGGTCAAAGTTGTTATAAAGCATAAGGGTCAATATTGTTATATAGCATAAGGGTCAATTATGTTATGTTTTGTCCTTTTGGGGTGAAATTCAAAAAAAGTTGTGAAAAAATTACCTTTTTAGCATAAGGCAAATATAATTTCCATGACATTTTTTGTTGTAATTTGGATTGGGATAGTTTTAAAATGTTTATGTTTAAGACTACTGTAGCTTTCATTATTGCTTGTCTGTTTTGAGGAAATAGCCAAGCTATTATGATTGCTGCAGTGTCATCTTTGTTGACGTTGTCATCCTGCAAAAACTTTCATGTTGCCCATAATTCAAATTTTTTAAGTTATGTACATGAAGCTTAGAAAAGTGCAGTTATTAGACATAGGGCATAATTCTTAAAGCAATATTTCTGGAGTTATGCCCCTTTTAAGCAAATTTTTTAACAGATGAGTGTTACCACTGCACGCAGTGGTCTTGATTATGTTTAGAATCATAGTGATAAATTACTTTGTTAAAATGGCAGAAAGTAAAGTTGACCATCTCACAAAGCATAACAATTTCTGACATTATTTTTTATTTTTCTGTTACATCATGAACACATATAAAATTGCTTGCTTTGGTTGTAGAGTGTTATTGTTAAATTAAGATTTCATTGTGAACAGCAATTTCGGTGCTATTATAATTTCAGTTTTTATTACGTTTCTATTTTTATGTTTTTATAATTTTAAGTTTGAGCTTCTATTATCACTAGTATTTGAGCTTTAGGCTTGTCAAAGTTTATCACAAATAAGCATATGTTGTTATGTACAAGTACGTGTTTGTCAGGGTAATTGCCTAGCCATATTTCAGGGATTCCCAGTAAGCACAATTTTGGCCTAAATTTTGTCTGGGTAATTGCCTAGCCATATTTCAGGGATTCCCAGTAAGCACAATTTTGGCCTAAATGACTAATTATTGTTTCATGTACCAAAATTATAAGTCAAAAATTTTTTTGGCTAGTAATTAAAGTGGATAGGTCTACAATGGGTATATTTACGTTAAGTTTTTCAAACATTGATAAAAACAATACCAATGTATCATTTGGATATTCTTATTTACAATACTGCTTGAAAAAGAAACGTTGATAAAGTTATAAATGATTTAGAGTGACCATTTATCTGACGAATAATAATATTTTGTTCTAGAGCATTTATTACCTGCTTTATAATGTATGTGATGTCACATTATGTATCTTACACTAGCCAATAGCTTCCATGTATAATTCATTAGTGGTTTATTGTAAGGTTTAATACTAAATACTATTAGTGTAATTAGTCATTGTATTACAGACCTTCCAATATACATGTAGACCAATTCACTTTAAAGTAGGAGTATGTTGTTTTTGAAAATCTGCGAATATGAATTCACATTGCACATTTAGCTGTTGATAATTTCAAAAAAGTAGATATGTCACACAATTATATATTACATAAAATAATTAGAGAAAAACATTTTTATTTCGTTATTTGAGATATTAAAATACAAATGTAATTATAATTATTTTCAATCTTTCTTTTCAACTTTGAATTTTGACACTTATTTTGACATATAATTAATATGTACATATATTTTTTTAAGATATTTTCTTAAATTTCCTTCAAAGTTTTTGAAGCAGTAAGTTTACCAATAATTTTTTGTTCTTGTTGAATTACAAATAAGCTTTTTTTCGTCACCTACCTGCATTGTATTTAAAACTGAGTTTTATGTAAACATATGTATCCCAGTTCCAGTTTTTTGTGGGACTAAAAATGTTTTGCTACTTATACTTATAGTATTATTGTGAAAGTTTTGTCATAGGAAATGTACATCAAAGGCAGTCATGTAAGTTTCAGGTAGATGTAACTTTGACAACAAAATGATGGAAAATACCCTTTTGATGTATGAGTCAATCACTGATGTATAAGTGTAAACATATTAATGACATCTCATGATTTTCACGGGTTATTTGTAGGTCACTGACCAAGACCCAGAACTCTAAATTCAATTTTTTTAATTCTGAATGTTTGTATGGCCAATATTGCTTTGTTTTATGCATTTGCTTCAAGTTTAAATTTACTTACATTATTTAATCTTCAGACAGATTCAAATGTAAATACATAAAGCTATATATATATATCTATATTTTGAAGAATGAGGATGTAATGCATTGGACATAATATTTTTTTTTCATTATATGATTTATTTTGTTGCTGTATTTTATGTTTTGCTTGGTTAACTTACCCTGGATCAAAAGGACTTTTGTTAAGGTGCAATTGATAATTAAATATTTATTTCAGAACAAGACTTTCTTTTTTTTCATTGAAGAAAATTTCACATAGGTTCTACATGATAATTGTTAAGATTGCTAGGATCCTCTTCCACTTCAGAATATATGTTTCAATTTGTTTGAAGTGACATTATGCCCATGCAAGAGTATATAGTGAATGAACAGATAAATTTTATGATTTACATTGCATAAACAATAAATAAATCACATGGCCCAAGGAAATTATTATTAATATCCATCAGAATATACATCTAAGATTTAATTTATAAAAAAGAGTTGGGCAGACTTTTTGTATTTTAGACAGATTTATATTTTGCAATATCAACTGTTGGTCAATCACCATTGTAACAGTCAATTATATATAATAATGAGCCACGTCATCACAAAACCAACGTAATGGGTTTGCGACCAGCATGGATCCAGACCAGCCTGCGCATTCGCGCAGTCTGATCAAGATCCATTTTGTTTGCTATCAGTTTCTCTAGTTGTTATAGGGTTTGTAAGCGAACAGCATGGATCCTGATCAAACTGCGCGGATGTCTGGGTCCAAGCTGGTCGCAAACCCATATGTTGGTTTTGTCATGGCGCGGCTCATAAATTGAAATATATAGTCTATTCAGCCCAACTTGACAATGGGAAAAAGGGAAAATACCTAAACTTTACTGAAGATTTGAAACTTACACTAACCCCTTACCACGCTAAATGCATGCTCTTGAATGGACTTGTCTATCTTTCAATCTGGACAAAACCATTCATCATTTAGAGAAAATTTCAAAATACATAGTGACTGAAAGATATGCTCAGATAGCAAGAATGCAAGGGTGATATTGGTCCGCACTGGTCACATGGGTAGAATATGTGCTAGGGGTTAGAACTATTAGTATTAGTACTATGTTTCATCATAAACTTAAATGGTAATTAAATTAAAATTCTAAACATCTTTTGTATTTGTGGATTTGACTTTCCTAGCTTTGATTTCAATTTCGAAATACGAAAAAGTATCAGGGGCCGAGTGGTTAAAGTTGTTACTTGCCCCTCATCGATATGGGTTCGAGTCCCGAAAGGAACTTTGGATTCTCTCATTTGAGGAAGCTATCAAGCTAGCTTACAGAACGTCAGTGGTTCTACTCAGGTGACCGTTTGTGCCTGAAATATAGATGGAAGGGCACATGAGTTCTTCTGGAACATCGTCATATCACTTCTACGTGCTAAGTCGGTGTGACGTAATACCCAATCAAACCAGATTAGACCGCACATACTGGTAAAATCTGGTTCAGGATGGTTTATTGTTAAATATGGCTAGTTGTACAAAATATTACATTGTTTTTTACATTATCAATAATCCGCTAATATGTTCATTTGTCTATTCTTTGTATTTGTAGTTTTTATGCCAAATGATCCAAATAGCTAACAAAAACTTGTTTTGGTAGAGTGCTAACTTTGAAATCAATTTGGACCAATTTTTTAAATCACACTAATAATACCGATGAAACGATATTTTAATACGTTCAAAGTAGCACGCCACCACGGATCTTTATATTTGATCTGATACATCAGAGATCCTGTATGTTGTTATTAAAGATATAACAACACGTAAGTGAAATTTTATTTATGTTTATAATTATTCTTCTAAAGCAATGTCTACTGTAAACATCCAAGAATATGTTTAATATGTACTGCAAATGTTTATTCACATTATAAGTTATAAAAAAGTTGGCTTAGAGTTTATCGAAAATAAATTTCTAATTACCTACCTTTATTTACATTAAATGTAAATTCAGTAATATCTTTACAAATAATGCTTTCTGGAACTTACATTATTGATAGATCTTCATTTGAGCATCATATTATGATATAAAACCATGAAAATTTGAGTTACAGGATCTTTAATAAAAGACTGGTAGTATCAACTTGCTAAGGATATGTAATAAATGATAAATATCAAGTGCTTCAGCAGGATTGGTAACATATTTCATGTCAGTTTCATATATATATACATGCACAGGTTTCAGTAGCTTCATTTTAGTAGAAGCTAAAATGGCAGAAATGTTTACCATTATGAGCGCAGGTTTGACCTTTCTCAGTCAAGGTCACAAAATAAAGAGTATCTATTCCAAAATTGTGTGCTTTGAGCCGATAGAAAGGAAGTTAGATATAACTTATAATGAGACAGTCTGCAGAACACAGGTTCAGGCTTCCTGAGATCAAAATCGGCACTGATCCATGGGTTATTTGATTGCTACAGGCTTATATAGGGAAACGCATTTTAGTTAATTTTGTTGGCCACAAACTCTGTGGATTATAGTTTCACTCAATCAGACGTGTCTTTCCTTTTTAGCGTTACTACGCCTTTATTCGCGTTATTACGCCTTTGATTCGCGTTATTTGACCTTTCGATTAACATTTTAACGCCTATATTCTCGTTTTTTCACCTTATTCGCGTTGCTACGATTTTTTTGCATTATAACTCCTTTTGATTCGCGTGCTAATGCCTTTTGATTCGCGTTATAACGTCTTTATTCGCGTTATTACGCCTTTTGAGTCGCGTTATAACGCCTTTATTCCCGTTATTACGCCTTTTGATTCCCGTAATTACGCCTTTCGATTCGAGTTATAATGCCTTTATTTGCGTAATTATGCTTTTTGATTCGCGTTATTACGACTTCTTTCGCGTTACTACGTGTTTTGTTTCGCGCTATTACGCCTTTTTGCGTTAATACATCTTTTTTCGCGCTATTACGCCTTTATTCGCGTTATTACGCCTTTATTCGTATTACTTCGCAATTTGGTTTTTCGTAGTTTCGCCTTTAATTCGCGTTATAACGCCTTACCAACTTTATATTTATTTCATATGATACATATTCCATTTTGTCTGATTTCAATATCAATTTCAATATTAATTTACATATTAGGCTTTCATAATTTGGGACGTAAGTTATTGGCACATTTTTTAAAATTCTTTTAGGTGCCATTCATCCATGTCAGGTGATATGATTAAACTTAAGATAATTCAAGACGTATGGCTGAATTGAGATTTATCCAAAACATCATAGTATTACACCGATTCAAGGACACCGAGCAGACAACAGTTTATTTAACATTAAAGGTAAACTTTAGAATTTAATACTACTTGCTTATTGTTCTCAATCTCAGAGATCCTATTCAATCGAGATTCAAAAACGTAAAATTTTCAACAATTTCATATACATATTTGAGAATTTTCATTGGGATGTATGATATATATCAAGTGCAAAAATTGAAAATTTGTAATTCTTTATCAGCTAATTTTCAATAAAGAATCGCTTTTATAAGTTGTCTCGCTCAAGATTCATAAATATTTTGAAATCAGGCTACTCACTTATAAGTGCATATACAATACATCTATGTAAAATTGATATAAGGACATGTGGATATGTTCCAGTTCATGTTAGTACATGTACATGGATTTTTATGCAATTGAGAAGATTTTAGCACTTACAAAAGATACTGTAAGTACATGTAACACTTTTTGAGAAACGTTCTCTTTTATTTTCATTTTTAATGAAATTAAATTGAATAAACAAATAAACATGGAATGCTATATAACTGTATTAACTATCTATATATGATTAAATGATACAAAGTTATTTTAACAATTAATAAAAAGTACCACGCTTTGGTTAACAGTTTTATAGTTCTAATTGTCCCATATATTATACTTGGATGGCTCGTAGATTATACACATATATCACATCACAAAGTCATTACAATAACCGGTTAGCTCAATAGTTAGAGCATTGGACCGTGAATCGGGCGATCAGTGTTCGATTCCCAGACGACGCTGGTCATTTTCGTTATGATTGATGTACAGATGTTATCAGTTCCTTGCGGAAATGAAGGTAATCTGCCTGATAGCCTGCCAATGAAAGAAAACGTGGTTGAACTGTGCTCTGGTAATTTTAATGTGGCTTACTGCCATGATCCGGAGTAAAAGCTACCAACACCACCACCATGTCAATACAACGACAACAAGTGTCATAACTTGACAACGTCATCATGCAATAACAGTTGTTTTTATTTTTTTCTGAAATTGCTCGTAGATAAAACACAATAATTGAATATTTACATCTACATATCTAGACATCATTTTGAAAAAAAAAAGATATTTTCCTTTACAAGTACTTTAACATGTTAAGTAAAGTTTGTTTTTAAAGTAACACATATGTGTCCCATTTTACGTCATCTATAATACGAGGGGCATATTTCAATTAGTGGCAACGGCACCGCGTTTTTATAACTTAAAAAGTCATACCACTATTCCATCACTGTAAAAATAGAGCGTACATGACAGTTTTAACGCTGTTGCTACATCGAGCAGAACCTATTTTTACCCACATTTTGCTACTGAGTTTAATGGCGGGCTCAAAAAAGAATAAAAATGAATCCACGTTTCATACCCTGTGACAATCACTACCAGGAGGAAAGGGTCTCGATCTTTGAACCTAGTCAATAAGACCATGGCTTTTTCAACCCGCCCCCTTTTCTGGTCTGAAGTTAACAAATGCAGGATCCAACGGGCGCACATTTTCCTTATCTTTGACTTTTCTTTCAAAATGGAAACCACATATGACGCACTCAAGCCCGATACGTCATTAATTTCCTCACAGTATATATTGCATTTTCATCACTATGGCTTTGACAGTGCTGATGCCTTTTTCAGAGGTTGCGGAAACTGGCCGCTCGGGGCGGGGATCATCCTTTACATTAGTTCTACCTTCCTTTAACATTAACACCCACCTGCTGATTGTATGATATGGAATGGCATTGTCTCCATAAACTAAATCTACATATGTTTTTATTTCTGACGCACACTTACCCAATAACTTAGAATTTGCAATAAGTCTTTGCTCCCCTCTCACTCAGCCATGTTTACAACCAGTATAAAAACTACATGTATTTAAATAACCTGCTAAATTTTTATTGCACGTGGAAATCGTGCGAAAATAGTTTGTTGGTTAGAAAAATCAATAATTATTCCATTGGTATATTTTACGTGTACTTTCACGTGCGTATCATGGTTAAGTTGAGTTGTTGCCCCTACTTAAAATATGCTTCTTCTATGAGTTTGGAAGAGCATAGGCACTTGATGGCAATTTTTTTTTTATCACACGCACACGCACACACTCGCACGCACGCACGCACACACGCACACACACACACACACACACACACGCACGCACGCGCACACACACTTATGTAATGAATAAAAAATCTACCGAAAAACGTCTTCTAAAAAAATAGATATATCTAGTGTGTATATAAATTACTATACAGTAAATATACATATTTCAATACGTTTTGTCGGTAGAGTTTTATTGATTTGATAAGTGTGTGTGTCATAGAAAAAAAGTTTTTAAAAATCACGGTATGAAGACGATCAAAAAATCTTTTTTGCCAACAAGTGCCTATGCATTTAGCTATTTCCGCGGATAGCTATATCACAATATATACTCGTGAAAAAAAACTTAGTTTTTTTCTCTCTTAGATTAGTGTAATGACAAAATCGAACTGCCCCGTCTAAGATCATTATTAACTTATCTGATTTTGTAATATATGATATTTAAATTTGTCATTTTTTATCTTTTTCATTGTTTATCTGCAAACATTTTCTATAAAGAGCGGCTATAACAAATAAATTACTAGTACATTGTATAACAAATCGGCCCGTAGATTAGCGAAATGGAAATCTGAGACTGACTAAATTGGTTTTCAGGCCAGTTTGATTCTACACGAGTGGTGTGCGTCTGCCTCATGTGCTACCCCCACTAGCTCTGATACAAATGAAATGGTAGGATAAAATTCTAAAAGTGTTCAAACAAGAGAATGAAGAGAAATATCTATCCCAAGATGCATCATAATATTCTTTACATTTTCTTTACATATTTTTATTATACTTAGGATGGCAGCAGATAAAGAAGGAGTGCATAAACAAAATGCGAATCAGATTCAATTTGGGACAAATTTGGAGATAAAAGCTTTGCACCATATTCAATTTCTAAAACGCGTCAATGACTCCAATTATTTGAAGGAAATATCGGTTTTGAAGAGAGATATTTACAGGTACGAGAAATACTGGCTCCCTCTGGCGGCAGATTATCCGGCAGAATGCTTATCAGCTCCGCTTGGTATCGCTTGGGTCTGGCACTGTCATATGTTGTGTCCAGTAGCATATGAAAATGATTGTATATCAATTGTTAATCGTCCGATTAATCATGTTCTCCGTGACCCAAAAGATTTCCAAACTGCTCAGTTGAGATCACAGAGCTACTGGTCACGGAAATATCAACACGACCACGAACCATTCCACATGGACTATTCAGCCCCATATGACAACAGTGTCATAGACTCCTTCCAATCTAAATTATCATATGATCTTCTGGCGGCTGCACAGCGTCAAATGACGTTCTACTACCAAGTATCACTTCAACACTATCAGGATCCAATATTCTTACGAAGCGCTATCATTCGCTACCGGATGTTTATTTATTTGAAAATGCAACTTCCGGACGCGTTCCTGGTTCCATGTTACGACATTGACCTAATGTGGCACACTCACCAATTGTGTCCATCTGTATATAAAACTGACATGTACCGTTTACTTGGCAAAATATTAAATCATGATGATTCTACTACTGATAGAAGTCCTGGGTCTAAGCTTAGCAACGCTTCCACTGAAACAAGTCAGCACTGGATGATTTTTTATAATGAGTCCTTCACCCTTTTTGGCGCCATGTATCGAGGAAAGCCACCAGCGGGCATTCTCTATAAAATAACCCCAGACCGGATCATGTTGATATCCTCAAAGAGATGTTTTATAACCTTTGATTCGATTACACTCACGCTTGAGCAGAGTTCGCGTAAAAGATGCAAAAATGTCAGTCTGAACATATATCGAGGTACTAGAGATGTTCAACAGGGCAAAATGTTAAAATTGAAGAGACCTAAAAACTGTCCTCTTGGAAGTTCACAAATAGTATGGTCCAAAATAAAAGGGAAACATGATTTCAGCTGTAAAACATCAAACAGCATCAAATTTTCACTTGAAGAAAAAATTGGATTGTGTCCGGGATCCAAAGTTATACACGGGTCGAACTTTGTTCCGATTCTTCATCACATAGATGCAGAACAAAATTTACAAACAGGCGAAGAATTCTACGAGAGAATTAATCTCGGCCAAGGTATGTTATTGTGGGTTATTGGGAAGACATCTCGACCAGTTCGTGAGGGTGTATTGCTTACAGTACAAAAAGGAGATTACAAAGTTTCGTCCGTACCAGAGAATATACAGGAGTTGGGCCCGGTTTCTCTTGAAAGGCTTCCTCAAGGCAAGGACAACAGATGTCAGTTTGCATCTCACAGGTAAACTCCTAAAGTCACTACTAATGCAAATTCTAATACACTTCACAATATTCCCATATCAAACATATAGGGCTTTCAGGAGCATTATAACGCGATATATGCACAGCATGAAGACGAATAATTACACGTCACATGACGTCATATATGTCTTCAATAACCGACATAAGAAAAATTTCTTCTACGCTCAATCTAGTTCAACAATTTTTTATCAATTCTCTCATGTTAAAATGGAAGACAATTTTGTAGATGTTAATTTTCTTGGATGATATAGAGGATATTGAATGAGTGTAAGTTCAATACTGAATTTATTGCACGAGTTGAATAAAATTATATTATGCGAGCCTCTGGCGAGCATAATATTATTTTATTCAACGAGTGCAATAAATTCAGTAATGAACTTACACGAATTTAATATTCTATTTATCACATACCCAAAATAAAGACCGTTTAAAGTGAAATAAGAGTCATTTTTCATTGACGCGCCTATAGTATAACGCTAACATTTAGCGCGTATTTACATTATGTTTGTATAACGCTAATGACGTCACGTCAAAATATATGCACGGCCGTGCAATACCATATTTACGGAGTCGCAAAATCGGCACGGGTGTGTGATAAATAGAGGATATTGAATGAGTGTGAGTTCAATACTGAATTTATTGCACGAGTTGAATAAAATTATATTATGCGAGCCTCTGGCGAGCATAATATTATTTTATTCAACGAGTGCAATAAATTCAGTAATGAACTTATACGAATTTAATATTCTATTTATCACATACCCAAAATAAAGACCGTTTAAAGTGAAACAAATGTCATTTTTCATTGACGCGCCTACAGTATAACGCTAACATTTAGCGCGTCATTACACTATGTTTGTATAACGCTAATGACGTCACGTCAAAATATATGCACGGCCGTGCAATACCATATTTACGGAGTCGCAAAATCGGCAAGGGTGTGTGATAAAGTGTAATAATGCATGGTTCGTCGTTCAAATGCTTTGTAATATCAATCAAAACTATTGGCCTTCGTGATAATATCCGTACGCATTTGAACTCGAACCGTGCATTATTCTTCAACAATGCACTCAAAAAAAAATTGTGATCTTAACAACATCTAGTAATCTTGTGTTGTGTTGTTTTGCTTTGTTTTATTTTTATTTCCCTTTTAACGCTGCGACTGGACGTGTTTCAATCTCTCGTAATATATATACGCGTAATGGCCATTCTTATAAAAAAAATCTCCGAATAGATTTCACCCTATTTATTATGAAAATGGCTGTAACATTTGTATAGCAGCATTTCATGAAACTGTTTTGACACTTCTGATTGTTACATTTCCAGCCTGTATAACCATGCAGGGAAAAGGAAATTTACAGTTTGTACTATTCATAGTGCTCCACTCGTTATGTCAGTAGTTCAAGTGTTCTATCATGATAAAATGAGCGCCATTGCACACTTGATTGCCTCAGATCAGCTTCCTTTGCCAACACAGGTACGTCAGTTTTTTTTTAAATCAGCTGTTAGACTACGTTCATGCTTGAAATTTAACATTGTGGAGGTACAGGAGAGGTATAAGTCCCTATCGCTAAAGTCGCTAGGTTTTATTTTCCAAATGAAATCGAGACATCGAATATTAATATGTCATCAAAAATGGTCAGTTCAGCTGTAGACCAATTTTATGTCTATTTAGGGATGTCACAAATCACATTTACTGCCTATCTAATTTATATTTAGATAAAAACTAAAGGCAAAACGATTGTAACTCTTAACCCGAAACAAGGCGAAAGGGCTGTACTGATTAAGAACAGTGAAGGAGATTGGGGCATTGTAACGGGACGCTGGGATGGATTTAGACGAGGAATCGAACCCGAGAAAAACGGTACGATTTTTCTTTTCAAAAGTAACTCTCAATTTGTTTAACTTGAGAGATAATTTATTTCAAAAACATTTCACCTAGATTTGTGAAGGGTTTTTTAACATTACGCACGAGTTTCAGAACAACCAATATTCGTTTTACAGGCAAAGGATGCTTCATTTGCGTAAACATGTAATTTTACCAGTTATATCCCTTTATTTAAATTGTTTGCTAAAATGTTTGTAAACTTTATTTATTTTATAACAATAGGCAGTTTAGATAATTATTTTATTTCGTATGTCATCATTAGAAGAAACTATATTATTCGTAATTCGTGTTTATTACTTTTTGCGTCTTTATATTAAGGGGGAAAAGAACTGCATGGTTCACCCGGGACTCTCATTATCAAGTTCTACAATCTTGTCACCAAAGGAAAACCCCGGACGTTGACTCTTGGATACAATTGTAACAAATATAACTTCAATTTAGCTTCTTCTGACGTTGACCTTAAAACAGGGACAATAACTATAGAAGACCCAAACTGTGAAGATGTGGCTGAGAACATCGCTTTAGCATTTTCGGTATCTTTGTTACATGTTTTGTGCGTTCCAAGACCCAAAGGTTGGAAGGAAGGACAACAGGTAAAACCACCTCCGCTAAAGAGAGGAAAAATAGATGTTAAAGGCATTCCTTCGGACGACATGACCCTAATACTAGCGGCAGGGCTTCTGATAAACTCTCCCTCGAATTATTATTTCCATAATCTCCATGGTGAAAATATGTGCGCAATGTGCGGAGGAGGTGCAATCAGATATAACATAAATGACCCGAGGCTACCTTCGAGTGAACACGGTCAAGGTCATTCTGGTACAGGTTGTGCAACTGCGAGTTCTGTGAATGGCCATGGCGCAGGATGTGGAGGATGTCATGTCGCGTACGAATATGGTGACGGGGGTTGTGGCGGCGGTTGCGGCGGATGTGGTGGATGTGGAGGATGCGGATAATACTCATACATCCTTACATGTGATATACGGACATGTTTCTTGGACCTTTTTATCATGGCAATAAAAACGTACAAAAACATTTTTATGGTACTTTGACGTAAGAAATGTTATATTTGTTATATTGTTTAACTATTGTTGAAAAGGTTATTTGCTCATGGATGACCTGACAATTTTCATTATGTTCTTTTAGTGTTTATTTTTCATTATACATATTTCAATGATGAAATCATGAACTTCAGTTATGCTAAGAAAACAAACAACAACTTATTTTTATTTGACTGTGATTCAAATCATTTATGGATGAGTAAGAAATGCAATCTTATTATTTTTATATTCTGTATAAACATGTTGATCATACTAGGTCAATTCGTTTATTGTAGGGGTGTGTACTTTCAAAGAATCACAATAATTGATATTTTTTGTAAAATACAAACATTCTATTAAAGAGGCGAAAACAATAATTTGTTACCTTCTTTCCTTCTTAAAATTAGAATATTATAATAAAAGTTAACAAATCCGATTTTACCGCTGTAATAGAAGGCTTTCAGTCTCCTTCGAAGATGAACAGACCCATGATTTGTTGTTGCAGGAGAAACAATTACATGCTTCTATTGTCTGCTTTAACGTGTTAGTTTATTAACGTTAAAAGGTAGTAATTGCAATAAATTACAATTAATAGTAATTGTAAGCGTAACATGAATCGGCACGCTTCTCCCTCCTTGCTTTATACCCTAGTACCCGTTACCGATTGTGTTCGGTTCCCCGCATTTTTAAATACAGAATGCCCTAGGATATGGACTGATCAATGACAATTTCTGAGCTATATCAACTGTGTTTTATTACCCAAACGCCACAAATGATTGCAGTCAATGAATGTTCCAGAGCATCTTTACTGTTGACAATACCATTTTAAGTCAAGAAGTGTGCGCATAAATATCTGACATTTTTTAAAACAGTTTATTCATGTACATGTATATTGAGAAAACTTTCTCGAACCAGAGACTTTTATTACAGATGTTATATAAAGCACCACGCTCGAACACAGATTTGAGAATAAGAAACATGCAATAAATGCCTTTAATAACATTAAAAGATTGTATGTTCTACATTTGATATTTAATTACATTTCACTTTTGATAGCAAGCTGATTTGATTTCACTGGTTGCTCTTTAACACCTGAAAATAATACATCTGAGGTACATTTGTTATACATTTAATATACGACTTTATTTCTATCTCGCAGTACTACTATATAATACATAAATTACTAACAAATTTAGCCTTTTGCTAAATATTACCCAATTCATCACAAGAAATATTTACTTACAACATTTGTCTCTTGGGCAAAGAAAAATTGTTTGCTGATAATAAAGGTAGTTACTCATTGAACTGCATTTGTATTGCAACTTTATAATTATATCAATAAATGCTGCTTAATTGTGCTGAGACGCTGGTGTTTGCCACGTCAAAGACTCACGTTTAAGTGCATGTCAGGTGAATATTTGGGTTTTGTCAGTAGCAAAACAATTTGATTGAAAAGAAATCTGATCTCTATGCTGATACATATAGAAACATTAACTCTATATATCCCTGCCACTCAAATGTGTAGTATAGAATCGTTTTTCAAAAAAAAAACCCACAAAAAAACAACAACAAAAAAACCATTCAGAAATAGAGGATCCATCGGCATCCATCGAGTACAAAGTAAACCATAGATAAACAGTTCGAGCGAGGCAACCTTTTCAGCGACGCATACTTGTGGTATTCATTCTAGGCGTTCCCCAACAGGAACACTTTGCCTATTCTTTGTCACTGATAGTTTTAGCGCCTCGTTTAATATAGCTTTTTACAGATGTGTACTCGTCCAATATAATTCAAAAGTGTATAATAAACAATGTATATATAATAACCTCAATATATTGTCGAAGGTTGTCCCGAACGATCGTATACATTTTCTAGATCTCGGTTGTTACAATGTATGTACCATTTGGTGCTGGTTATGGAATCTTTAAATGACGTATTAAGTAAGCAATGTCCAACTTCCAGTAAATCAATTTTATTTTGGATTTGAAATCTTTTTTCAAATTCCCTTTTGACTAAAGAAAACACAAGAAAGGTAATTATTAGATCTGTTTATAAAAAAAGGTTACATTTTCTTGTGTTTTTCAACAATAAAATGACGTTGTGATATTTATTCATCAAGCACTGCATTATCGCTTACGTTCAAAACCGGTTGCGTACTACCCTGAAATGAGAATAAAGATCATGTTCACAGAACGCAGCTCCCGGCACAATCAAGTCACTCCAGCAGAGCACACAGAAGGCAGCGAACATAAAACGGGAGAGAACACAAGGATGAAAGGAGGGGAGGGACATGTGAAAAGTAAAATGATAAAAACTAAAAGGGCCGATACGGGAATAAAAATGACAAGGGGTTTAAGGGATAAAGGAGGAGGGGGCGGCTGGGCACAAAATTGGATAAGAGGAAGAATGAAAAGAAAATACGAGTACTTAACGTAAGCGACTATTTAACACAATATGACATTACATAACGTGAATACATTCAAAACATGTAACAATACACAAGACCTACATGTGAAACAATTGAAGGAACACAGAAGGGTACTGGCTTGGAACGGTCAATAAATCCGATTTAAAATCATGGAGCACAATAAAGTTTTGAAATACTTAGTACTTGTATAACCTTTAGTTCTTATGTGTATACAAAACGGAGATGTCATAAACGGAATATATTTGTTTGAATAGACATGTAACATATCAGAATAGCATTCAAAAACGAATACTTCCGCGTCCCGATAAATCGCGAACTAAAAACAAAACACTTTTATTATCAGATAAAGACGACAAAAGCGGAATCAAAAATTAATAACCTAATATTTAGAAAACTAAATATCTCAAGATTTCATCTTTCGCTTAACATCATCAACAATATTCAACAATGGCAGAATTGGTCACCATAACGAGTGATCCGCCTAACAGTAGGCCTTTTATACTCATATCTTTAAATTAGAAGTATCTTTGTAAAACTAATTTAACCTGAAAATTTGTGCATGAATTTAGCCTGCTTTGAATTTGAAACATTACAAAGGATTTCAATATCAAATACGAACCGCAGAGATGTTCAAGGTTGCTATATACCGTCGGCAAACCAGCAGGCCAAGTGCAGACCTTTACCATTGATCATATGTCCAAAAGAAACTGGGAACGCACTATTATTTGACATTGTCGTTGATACTCATACAACAATATTTTCATGTCTTAATGTGTCACAATTTATTTTTGAACAGCGATGTTTTGCCTGTCTTGTTAAATAGCTGTCAAAAAAATCCAAAATGAACAGACAAAGTACATTGTAAACAAAATGGGACATGTCACTCTTAAAGTACGGCATTGTATTAAACGAATGTAAAATTAGTGGTACGTGTTGTTTGTTGGACATGGTTAATATTTCTATATTCTATTTGTCTCTTTTCTATGTAATTGCTGTCCATAAATGAATGTGAATGATAAAGGTGTTAATGTTTTCATAAATAGGTACAAACTTCAATAAAACAAAAATAATAAGATGACAATTACTCGCAAAGTACTTATATGAGAACTTTTTTATTTGCTACAAAATAAAATATTTATAGATTTTGTTTTATTTACTCGCAATTATTTAGAAATAATGGCTTCATAATAACGTTTCACTGACATTGGAAAGGATTGATGTACGCAAAAGTGTCATCTGTGACAACAAGTTTATAAACGAAATTTTGATTATTATTGTATATCAGTGGGCGTCAAATTTTAAATCCATTATGATATTTTTCATAATAAAAATCTGCAAACAAAGTGATTTCTCGAAAACATTTATCATAACAAAATTACATGAAAATTACAGACTTGGGAGCGGTACTAAATTCTCAAAACTCAATAGTGCTGGCATCAATGAACCCGAAGGACAAGAAAAATATAACAACACTGAAGTGAAGTACGGGCGGCCACACAGCATTGACACATGCAGTTGTAAAGTATAAAATTCTGGAAACAAAGTGATCCCTAGAAAGAAATAATCGTCGAGGTTTTCCGATTGCATTAATTCCTGACCTTCGAAGGTGTTTTTTTATCCTAGTTAAAATTTAAAGATGCAACCCACATAACAGAGACTATTCTTTAGGCATAGTCATAACTATATACATTATTATTATGCGTTGCGTAAATTTTCGACACTTTGGTCTGACATTCACTATGCATGTACTAAATAGTTCTTGACATTTTTTTTTATAGAAAAGTTCACTTCTGAAGTATATTTGAATGTTGTCCTTTATCACCATTTCATGTTTAAATGTTGAATTCTGCTTAGGCCGGTTCTAGGAGGCGTGAACGGTAGTTTGCTCTTGACAGAACTGTCCATGAACAGACTCGATCAAACCGAGCCTGCAACATTTTCAATTTTGCCGTTTTTGACTTTTTTTAGGGATTCCTATTTTATATTACACTAACCCAAAATCCTTCATTGACGGCTTTCGTTTCTGAGCATATCTAATTGTTAATAAATACGTTACATGTGCCTTAAGGATATCCTTAAAATATAAGTAAAAAAGGGAGATAATCTACGAGTAATGAAAACTAAAATAAATATCTGAAAATCGCAAGCAGGGTTTAATGGACCTCTCCAGGATTCAGTTTCAATACGAGAACTATTGGTAACAATGATCCCGAAGGACCAGAAAAATAATTGATAATACTAGCATGATGTACTGGACAACAATATGCAGCAGCTGCCACACAGCATACTGATGTGACTGTAAAAATTATGGAACGGGATAATCATTTTAGAGTAACATATACTAGTATCAAAACTTACAGACTTGATTTTATCGACGAGTTCGTTCACACAAGTCTGATTGTCAATAACCTACTATGTTCATTTGTCCATTCTTTGCATTTGTAGTTTACATGTCATATGATCTAAATAGCTAACAAATATTTGTTTAAGTAGTGTGCTACCCTTTAAATCAATATAGACCTATTTATAAAATGACATCAAGAATACCGATCAAACGACATTTTAATTCATCCAACGGTATAAGTTGAAAAGCAGCAAGCCTCAAAAGTTGTATCAACTTGGAAAAGTTTTGATGAGTAATTATTAATACTTTCAAGTTTTTCATTGATTTTAGCAGGTCGTCTATTGGTTGAAACAGTAAATTCTGTCTTTTTTCATTTTCATTTTCAGCATTGACCCTTATATACATACCCTGGTTTCAGCAGCTTCATGTCAATAGCATATTACCTCTGAAAAAACAACAACAACAAAAAACAACAACAACAACGAAAAGAAATAACAACATCAACAACACTAAAATATACATTCTTTTACAAAATATTCAACAGCAACGATGAGGTCGCACATTATGCACTACCCTTTTTACCATCATTTTCAAACATCTTTATCTTTCAAATTGAGTACTTTGGTATGATTAATGATCAAGATACGTGAAGACACAAAAATATTTTACAAATAACAAATAGTCCAATTTAGCTTTAAACCCTTCAACATACTTATAATAGACGTCTTCTAGCTGTACAAACAACAAAATGATACCTTCTAAAGAAGCGATAGTCTATAAGATAAATCCAGTTATCGTGGGTGCGACCCCTAGGTGAGTCACGCACATGTTGATTTCATGACTCTAGTATTGGTTAGTTCCATGGAGCGAAGCCGTTTCGTATAAACACAAGCTTTTTTCCCGTTTAATCAAATTAAAACAAACGGACAACCCACTCTGAACAAACTTCACGCTTCACGAGGATTGTCTCAATGATTATTTAAACGCATAAATTTCTTTATATACTGTATTCTGTATACTGTTCTATTGAACTTTTTGTAAAAATAAAACAAAAGTTATAATTTTGATTATAAGACCAATCTAGTTTATCGCGAATATATTCGATCGAATAATAATTTCAAACAATCTGACGAAATTCAGACCTTCTTATGTTTTCTTTTTATTTTTACATGTTGAAAAGACGGCGATCTGACTAAAGCTCAAATCTTCTTATATTTACATTTTAAACATATGAAGATCTGAACTTGAATTTTAAAGATGTGTACATAGTTTTTACTCTGTCACCGCTTTTTCGGTTCTTCCCGTCAAACTTCGTATAAGGACGACATTAGCGGCAAAATGTACTGGCTTTTATATTTGTAACAAAGTAATTAAGATCAATAGATTTTGTATTGAATAACCCCCAGTACATATAAGCCTTACATTAATCTGTAACCTGAAACCATTTATGACGTAAATCATTGGCATATTTTTAAAAAAAAAACATTCTTTTGTCATTCATTCAAATCAGGTTAAACTTATGATATTTGAATACGCGTGGTTAAAATAAAATTTATCGAAAACTTAAAAACAAGATTACACCAAGGATACCGAGCTACATGTACACGCTTTAGAGGTAAACTTTAGATTTATTTCAGTCTTATTCAATTCTTTTTGCTTATTGATCTTCCCCATTGCCTCTAGTTTTTTATTTCTTTGATTAACCCCCCCCCCCCCCTTCCCCGGTCTCCTGTCCCCTTCCCCTTTGTGGGCCTATTATTATTTTCTTTGAATTCCTAATCAGTTACAAATTATTTATCATTTAATGATTAACGTGTCGTTGCCCTGTCCTTTTTATGTTTGGGGTCCGCCTGGGCTCCTTGCCATTGGTTCTTGTTGCTGGGTCATATGGGGGTTGCGTTCATTGAACGCCGCCTTTCCTTGTTGATCTTGTTTTTCATATTTTCTGTGTGATTTGTACATATATAAAACTTATCTTTTAACAAAAAATATAGTAGATATTCCGCTCAAAGATAGAAACAAACAATATTTCGTGAGTGTCAGGAACGATTAACTTTTGTTGGAACAAAGCTTTGGTAAATCAATATAAGGGTACTGAGTATCTTGAAAAAATCGTATTTTTCTAAAATCACCTCTACTGCATCATTTACGTGACTATGTCTTGCATTTCTTTTTCTTCTTTTTTTTGAGAAAAAACAAAACAAAACAGAGAACACAAAGATAATGCAAAAATCAACAACAGTGTTTGCATTCATCATTTTATCTCTTATAATTTTTGCTACACCAACTCTGTTTTTAATCCTTTCTGGTGAAGAAAGAAATCATGTGCCCATCTGTGCATTATTTCAGGTAAGAGTGGGCATCCGAATAGAACCACAAACCTTGGATAGCTTATAAAACATAAAAGAATCCAAAGTCGCAGGCCCCAGTGGTTGATTCTACAAAACACTATTCATTTTAAATACAATATCATAATCCGTTGTTATTGTTGCAATTAGTACACTTATTAGCACTTTTTATTTCTTGGTGACCGGTCACGTAGGAAAAATGTACATTTATATTTAACCAGAGGAATGATAATTTGATTCAGAACTTAGGATGTCTCTCCTTATAATATTTACACATCAAACAAAAGTTTTATCATGTTTTCTCATTGCTTTAATCTTACACGTCAAACTGTATGCTTGCCATTAATGGTGAAATTGATTTTAATATCAAAACATCTATATTGAACAGCCAACTGTTGAGATGCTGGTAAGATCTCCTAATTCGACACATGGCTAAAATAGTTTTCGATCCAGTTTTATCTACATGAGTGACGTATGTATGTTTCATGTATTACCGCCACTAGCTCTTATAATATAAAATGGTATGGTCAAATTCGAAAAACAAGATTTTACAAATGGGACAGGAGGAAATGAAATATCTAATACAAGTTGCAAAAACATTTTCTTTACATCTTCTTTTCATCTTTTTATACTTAGGATGGCAGCACCTATGGGAGAAGTGCATAAAAATCATGCGAGTCAGATTCAGTTTGGGACAAATTTGGAACTTGAAGCTTTGCACCATATTCAATTTCTGAAGAGAGTTAATGATGCCAAGTATTTAAAGGAAACATCGGTTTTAAAGAGAGCTATTTATAGGTACGAGAAATACTGGCTCCCTCTGGCGGCAGATTATCCGGCGGAATGCTTATCAGCTCCGCTTGGTATCTCTTGGGTCTGGCACTGTCATATGTTGTGTCCTGTGGCCTATGAAAGGGATTGTATATCCATTGTTAATCGTCCGATTAACCATGTTCTCCGTGATCCTAGAGATTTCCAAGCTGCTCAGTTGAGATCGCAGAGCTACTGGTCAATGAAATATCAACACGACCACGAACCGTTTCACGTAGACTACACAGCACCATATGACAACAGAGCCATAGACTCCTTCCAATCTAAGTTATCATATGATATTCTGTCGGCTGCACAACGTCAAATGGCGTTCTTCTACCAAGTATCACTTCCACACTATAATGATCCAATATTCTTACGAAGCGCTATCATTCGCTACCGGATGTTTATTTATTTGAAAATGCAACTTCCGAATGCGTTCCTGGTTCCATGTTACGACATTGACTTAATGTGGCACACTCACCAATTGTGCCCATTTGTATACAAAAATGACATGTACCGTTTACTTGGGAAAATATTAAATCATGATGATTCTACTACTGATAGAAGTCCTGGGTCTAAGCTCAGCAACGCTACTACTGAAACACGTCAGCACTGGCTCAATTTTTATAATGAGTCCTTCACCCTTTTTGGCGCCATGTATCGAGGAAAGCCACCAGCGGGCATTCTATATAAAATAACACCAGAACAGATTATGTTGATATCCTCAAAGAGATGTTCTATAACTTTTGATTCAATTACACTCACGCTTGAGCAGAGTTCCCCGAAACAACAAAAAAATATCAGGCTTTACGCATATCGAGGTAATAATATTATTCAACAGGACAAAATGTTGAAATTGAAGAGACCTAAAAACAGTCCTCTTGGGAGTTCGCAGATAGTATGGACCGAAATAAAACGTATACACGATTTCAGTTGCAAAACCTCAAACAACATCAAATTCACGCTGGCAGAAAAAACTGGGTTGTGTCCGGGACCTAAAATTATACACGGGTCAAACTTTGTTCATATTCTTCATCACATAGATGCAGAACAAAATTTACAAAATGGCGGGAAATTCCACGAGAGAATTCAGATTGGTCAAGGTATGTCATTGGAGGTTATTGGCAATACATCTCGTCCAGTTCGTGCAGGTGTATTGCTTACAATACAAAAAGGAGATTATCAATTTGCGACCGTACCAGAGAATATACAAGAGTTGTGGGGCCCGGTTTCTCTTGAAAGGCTTCCTCAAGGCATTGACAACCGATGTCAAGTTGCATCTCACAGGTAAACTACTAAGTCACTTCTAATGCAAAATATTCTTGTACTCTTGCGTTTGTTTACTTAGTTTATTTTTATTTCCCATTCAACTTTGCGGCTGGACGTGATTCAATAAGTCGTAGCACATAAATTCTATCACATTTTGCACAGAAAGACAAGGCAACTATTGCATTATCATACAGTACGTTTGTGTTTCTTTTTATACCTATTTCAACGAGAATCGCTGTAGTATTTGTATAGAAGCTTTTCATAAAACTGTTTTTGACACTTTTGAATCATTACATTTACAGCCTGTACAATCATGCAGGGAAAAGGGAATTTACAGTTCGTACTATTCATAGTGCTCCACTCGTTATGTCAGTAGTTCAAGTGTTCTATCATGATAAAATGAGCGCCATTGCACACTTGATTGCCTCTGATCAGCTTCCTCTGCCAACACAGGTACGTCAGGTTTTTTATATCAGATTTTAGACTACATTCATGTTTTATTTTCGCTTGAATTTATCATGTGAAGATATGGGAGAGGTTAAAGTTTCTATCGCTTCAAGAAAGATTAAATAGCGGGGTTTATCCCTAAGGAAATCGAGAGATTGGATATTCATATGTCACCATTTCTGTTCAGTTGTAGACCATTTTTTACTCTAGTAAACAGTATACATTAAATGAGATTTAATTTTTATCTAGATTAACACAATGGGCGAACGGATTATTAGTCTTAACCCGAAACAAGGCGAGAGGGCTATACTGATAAAGAACAGTGAAGGAGACTGGGGTATTGTAACGGGACGTTGGGATGGATTTAGACAAGGAATCGAACCCGGGGGCAACGGTACGATTTTAATTGTAAAAACAAGTTTCAAAATATTCCAACTTGAGAGATAATGAACATTGTATATTTCAAAAACATTTCATCTTGATTTGAATAAAACAAAATGTTTAAACATAAGGCAAGAGTTTTTGAATTACCAATATTTCCTTTACATGCAAAGAAAAACAAGGTTCATGTGTGTAAACATGTAATGTCACCAGTTATATCTCTTCATTTAACTTAAAAGCTGTATATACTTGTAAACTATACTCATCTTAAAATATAAGATAGTGTAGATCAAATATTTATTTCCACAGGTCATCATTAGATGAAACTGTGTTGTTTGTTATTCATGAATATTCTTGTTTGCGTTTTTTTTAAATACAGTTGGAAAGGGACAGCGTGGTTCACCCGGGACTCTCTTGATCAAGTTCTACAATTTAGTCACAAAGCGAAGCCCTCAGACGTTGACACTTGGGTACATTAAGAACGAATACGATTTCAATTTAGCTTCTTCTGACGTTGACCTTCAAAGTGGATCGATATCTATAGACCCAAACTGTGACGATGTGGCCGAGAACATCGCTTTAGCATTTTCGGTATCTTTGTTACATGTTTTGTGCGTACCAAGACCAAAAGGCTGGAAGGAAGGGCAACAGGTAAAACCACCTCCGCTAAAGAGAGGATACAGAGACGTCAGGGGTATCCCGTCGGACGACATGACCCTCATACTAGCAGCAGGGCTTCTGATAAGCGCTCCCTCAAATTATTACTTCCATACACTTCATGGTGAAAATATGTGCGCAATGTGCGGAGGAGGTGCAATCGGATATAACATTAACGACCCGAGACTACCTTCGAGTGAGCACGGATATGGTCATAATGGTTCAGGCTGTGCAAGTGCGTGTACTGTGTATGGCCATAGTGCAGGATGTGGGGGATGCCAGGGTGCATGCAGCAGCTGTGGAGCAGGGGGATGCGGAGGTTGCGGGGGCGGTTGTGGAGGCTGCGGTGGATGTGGTGGTGGATGTGGAGGATGCGGATAATGCTCCTGTACGTGTAATAGGTGCACATTTGGTCTTTATAGCATAGCAATAACTAAATTGCATAAATACGTTTTAAGGTACTATGACGAAAGACAGATTATGTTTCTTATATTATTTTACATTTGTTTGCAAAGCTATTTGATTATGTATAACCGGACAATTTTCAACATGTTCCTTACGTGCTTATTTTTCATTAAACATATAACAATAAAAATGTGAACTTCAGTAATGTTAAGAACAAGAAGGACTAATATTTATTTCAACTATGATAGATACCGTTTATGGATGATTAAGAATTGCAAACCAAGGCATATTATGTTCTGTATAGACATTTTTATCACAACTAGGTCAATTCGTTTATTGTAAAAATTTGGGAAAAACAGTAAAACAAATATTATTAGACCAGCATTATCAAAACTGGCATGCCTCTATGCAAGTCTCAACTAAAGGACTTAATTATTCAATTTTCAAAGAGTCAATTGACCTCGAGGGCTATTTACTTAATCAAAAAAAGTCTGACTGGCTGTCTTTAATTAAATTTAGATGCGGCAATCATTACTTCCCATGTGAAACTGGAAGGTGGCAAAATATAGACTATAATGAAAGAATATGTCAACTGTGTTTAAATGAGAATAGTACCCCAGAAATAGGAGATGAGTTTCACTATTAATTGACCTGTCCCTTTTTTAATCAGACTAGAAAATTATACATTAAACCTTATTATTTAAGAAGATGTAACACTCTTAAATTTAAAGAGCTACTTAATACGCAGTCCAAAAAGCTATGTACATTTATTAAAATTATTTTAGAAACGGTTAAACAGTAAGGAATCACATGAATATTTTCTCTGTAAAAATGGTAATATTGTCATAGGATCTGTACACCATTACTGTATTAATGTTTTCTTTATTCCATTTGCTTTTCCTTGTCACTGCTACAGTTTTTATATACAAATTTTATAATCCTTTTTCTTAATTCTTTTTTTGTAATTAATACAAACTGTCACTTCATTGATACAGATTAACCCATATGGTCATTTTATATTCTATTTTTTCATAGTCAAGCTTTTTTTCCTTGACTTCTCTAGTTCTAGTTTACACTTTTTTCCTCATGTTGAATATAGGTCAGGTTTTGTATTTTCTTATGTTGAATATAGGTCATGCTTTTTTCATAACATTAAAATACACCTGTCAATATGCCTATATAGATGTAGTTTATCAGTTGTATACAATCAAATTAATCCTTTTCCACGAGTATACAATAACTATGCAAATTCTTATTTAATTGATGTTTACATGTTCTACTTCTGTGAAGACACGTGACATTATCAGGTTATGACATTTCTCAGTCTTCTGCTAAATTGCTAAACTGATACCTTTTTGATCAAATTGTGAATACTTCCAGATGCTTCGAAACATTTTATATCCATCTTCCGAATATTTAAACTAATCATTCGTTGATAATCGTCTATTAATTAATTTATCTTACTTAACACATTTTACGCGAAGTTACCCGGTAAGGCTTTACATAGCGGACGATTACACTACCTTTTGGGTATATAGCGCAGTTTCGATGCAGCGATTTAATTCAGGCTGCACAAATACAATACGAATAAACTCTGTTTATTTTAAAAACAATATAAAATGGTGTTAATAATGTTCAAAATTCACATAACTATTAAAAAGCGTAGATTATTAAATTAGTTTCAGCCATCCAATATCCGAAAATGGAACATTCCCAGACAAGAATTTATAGTCCTTTTCAAAAAAATAAATGGAGTAACACACTATCACTATTGTCAACCCCGTTAAGCAAACAATCTGTCACGTGACCTCACAAGGTATTTTTGTTCAAATGTATTATTCGCTGTATGCTCACATGCTTGTAATCATTGCTTGAGCTAAATAAAGTTTATGTTGTTGTTGTTGTTGTTGTTGTACTACGGGTATGTACTTTCAATAAATCAAACATAATCGGTACTTTTCTCAAATAAAAGAAGACATTAAAAAGACGAGAACCATTATTTGTTTCCTTCTTCCCTTCCTTAAATTAGAATATTATAATACAAGAAGTATCTTTAAAAAGATACTCGAATTAGATAAAACTGCTTTTTCTTTCACGGTGTATGTGATATGTACATTATTATTCGGGTATGGTGTACATTATTGGTTGTCTCGTCATTTTGGAATATCATTTATAACTCAGTAAATTCTTATGTTGAATAAGATATTCACTGGAGAATTAATGATTTTTTAAAGCAGTGTAAAAAATTAATTGGAAGAAAGTTCACAGACCTCAAATATCAGAGAAATTTGACCAGAAAGTCTGCTTCCGATACCCTTTAGATCATCTTATAATTTGGACGTTTATACGTTTCAGAAAAATCCTTTAGATTATTTTACCAATTTTAGAATTTCCAATGAGATTCCCCGATTTCAGTTTGCAATTTTAAAATGACCAATGAAACTCCTTCTAATATTTAGCTCTTCCTTGTAAATTTTACAGGAAGTCAACCCGATCTAAGACGGACTTCGTCCAAAAAAAAAAGAGAAGAAACTAAGCTAATATTCTACTTTGGCTATTGTAATACAAGGCTTTCAATCTATTGTTTGTAATAATAACATAAATTAGCACGCCCCCTCTTTTCTTCGACCTAGTATCATTTTTTTGTTCGGTGCCCAGTTGGGTGCCTAATCACTGGACCTTTTTGCTGAATTATGTCAGCGGTTGCATTCGTTGAACTTTTCCCGCATTTTAAAGATATAATGATCTATGATAAGGACGAACAATGATAATTTCTGAGCAATATCAACTGTGTTTGGTTACCCAGACGTCACAAATGATTGCAGTCAATAAATGTATTCCAGACCACGTTTACTGTTGAAAATACCATTTCAAGTCGAAGAAGAGTGTGCCATTTCTTAAAAAAGTAACTTTCTCGAACCAGAGATTTTTATTACAGATGTAATATAAAGCTCCATGCTCGAACACTGACTTCAGAATAACAAAAAATGCAATAAATTCCTTTAATAAGAGTAGAAATGGTATATTCGAGTAATAGATTTTTCACTAATGATAGCAACCTGTTTTGATTTCAATGGTTGTTATGTAACTCCTGAAAATATATTAATTGAGACAAATTTTGATCTCGCACAACTAGTAAAAAACACAAATTATTAGTACGTAACATATTTAGTTAAGCTGATATTAAAGCTAAGGTAGGTATCGAATTGAAATGCATTTGTATTGCAACTTATATAATTATATATCATTAAAATATCATCAAATGCTACTTAATTGTCTTCTAATTGGCCCTGAGAACGCCGTTGTTGGTCACGCCCATGACTCACGTTTAAAGTGGCCTTCAACTTTTTTAAAGGTTTATTTCAAGATAAATCGTTTCATATAATTGTCAAATTCAAATTAAAAGAACAGAACAGAACAGATATTTTATTAAGACTTGTACAAAGTACATCATCTACAATACATTATATTCACATAATTATGTAATCGCTGCATGAAAATTAACAAACAAAATATGATATCACAAATTACGTATACAATAGTTTCATAACAACAAACAGACAAACATGCAATCAATCAATCAATCAAACAAACAAACATGTAGCTATGGAAAAATGTGTATTTACTATCTACTTTTATAATTAAATAAGACGCTTTTATGGATATTTTTGGAATCAAAACAAAACATTTGGAGAATGAACATTAATTGTAATCAGACAGTAGCATTTGAAAGTACATATCTAATGGAAAGAGCTTCTTTAACAAATTTGGATAAACGTATAAGCTCATTTTTATTTTTAGAGTTTAACAGTTGAATAAATTTGTAAACTGATGGATTTCTGTAATAGTAGGCTTTTAAGTATTGTTTTCTTATAACATCATAGCATTTACATATACAGATAAAATGGTACTCATCCTCAATATCTAAATCATTGCAAAACAAACAATATCTTTCTTCACGAGGGATTCTATTTCTACTAAATCTACCTGTTTGAATTCTTAAAGGAAGGCCATTCATTCTTAATCTACAAAAATAAAATCTAAAACACCTAGGTAGTATATTTAGATAACATTCATATTCAAAACAAGATTTAACATTTCTATATATACATAAAACAGGACTTTTTTCAAGATTACCGAACCATTCTTGCTTGAAGGAATCAATAAGACGACATTTAAATTCAGATAAAAACATAACCTTGTCTATATTGTCACAATTATCAAAAATATATGAAAACCCATAATTATTTAAGATATTTTTAACATTAGAAACCCAATTTGTCTTCCCTTTTTTGCTATCTTCAAGTGCCTGAGTGTAAACTGTTTTTAATATTATATTGTTTGTATTTATAAGTTTTAACCGAAACTTAATAATTCTCACATATCTATGAATATATAATGGATATCTGCCAAGTTCACCATATACACTAGTATTACAAGTATTTAATCTAACTTTTAACAATCTTTTACAAAATTTTAAATGTATTCTTTCAATTTCCTTAGATTTAGAATAACCCCAAATTTCACATGAATAATTTAGTATTGGTGAAACGAAGGCATCAAACAATTGACATAATGTTTTTGGACTAACATCATACTCTTTGCATTTACATAACAGCATATTCATTGATTTTAAAGCTTTTCCAATTAAATGTTCTTGATTTAGAATAAATTTACCAGTATAATTAAAAACAGTACCTAGATAATTGAAATCATTAACAGCTTCGATTTCTTGGCCATCATAGGTCCAATGCTCAGATGCTAAAAGTGCACCCCTTTTTCGAAATACCATTATTTTTGTTTTTGAAGTATTAACTTTAAGGCCCCAAGTGTTACAATAAGACAGTAAGAGATTCAAAAGAGTTTGTATTTCATCTGGACTTTTACCTATGATAGCCATATCATCAGCAAATAATAAAAGAATTAAAACTATATCATCTAAAGTAAGACCTGCTTCAATTTCAGACTGAAGATATAATTCAAGGTCTTCAACAAAAAGTGAAAATAAAAGAGGGGACATAACTTCCCCTTGACGAAGACCTACACCATATAAAAAATAATCCGAATAGCTAGAACATGACTTAACACAAGATTTTACTTTTTGATACATATCACGTATTATACTAAGTAACTTCCCTTGAATTCCGCACTTATACAATTTAAACCAAAGGCCATTTCTATAAACAGAGTCAAAGCATTTCATCATATCAACAAATATAACATATAATCTTTTATTATCATTCAAATATTTCTGAACCAATGAATTAAGAATAAAAATAGCGTCTACAGTAGATCTTCCCTTACGAAATCCGAACTGTGCATCCGAAATAGTGTTGTGTTCATTACAAAATTTTTCTATTCGTCTATTTATAACTGTAGTAAATAATTTTGACAAGCAACTTACAAGTGTAATGCCTCTGTAATTATTAACATCATTTTGATTCCCTTTTTTATTATACCTTCGGTCCATTTATCAGGAAAACAGCCCGAGTTTAAAATACAATTAAATAAGTCACAAATGTGAGACGATAAAATATCAATACTTTCTATAAAATATTCGTTCAATAAACAATCATTACCATAAGCTTTATTACGCTTCAGTGATTTAACAGCCGATAAAATTTCAGAACAAGTAATAGGCTCGTCTAACTCAGGAAAAATTTCATTAGTAATTGTAAAATCATTATTTTCACAAAATTCCTCAGCTTCAGCATTGTAACACTGAAAAAAGTCATTGCTTAAGTTAGAAAAATATTCTCTAAATTGTTCTAAATTTATTTTATTATCAACTTTTCCCGTTTGTTTTTTAAAATATTTCCAAAAATCTTTCGGCTTACTCTTTTTCAAATTTTCTATTTCTTGCATTTTCTTTCTATAGAACATATTTTTCTTCTTTGTAATAACAGATTTATAAGCAGATTTATGATTACACAAAATTACTCTATTTTCATCCGTTTTACAACAGTTAAATGATTTTAATGATTCTAAATATACGTTTCGTGCATCAATGCAATCTTTATCAAACCATTCTGAGTGCTTCATGTATTTTTCTGCATCATAGTAATGAACACTTCTAAATTTCAAATTATATGAAAAAAGAGGATCTGCAACACTCCGCATTGTATCTGTAAATTTATTTAATGCGTCATTAACAGACTGTCTACTATTACAATCTAATGTATTAACAATAGTATTAAAAACGGGTAAATTTACAATTATGCCCGAACGAAATTGTTGCCTGCGATCATTGTCCCACTTAAATTTGATCTCAGAATAATCTGCATTATTATCGTGCGTATTATTACATTCAAGTGACAAGGTCAAAGGGGAATGATCACTCCATTCATTAAATGGATGTATGGTAAAGTCACTGATCAATGAAAAATTGCGTTTAACAAGCCAGGTTTAATGCAAGCGTAAAATGGCTGCGAATGAATGGAATAAGTCAAATGTAACCTGAAGAAAGTTGTAATGAATGTGGAATGATTTTTCATAAAAGTAGCAAATACTATTTTACCATATCTATACTAGGCCCTAAAATCTTCGTCAAATTATGGTGTAGTCATTTCTTTAATGTTTTTATTTTTGCCAAGCGATTTCATTTCTCCGGCGTCATTTTATTTTGCGGAAATCGTATGAAAAAAGTTCCATTTCTGGCCTGTCAGGGTATCTCTTGTTACTTCTACAAGTACAATAAGTACAGTGTTTAGTTCCCCATTCCTTTAAACACGTAATTCGATTTTCAACTTGATTTCCTCTTACAATTGTATAAAATTTCTTAAAATATTGCGTGCAAACAAATGTATAATCGCTTGTCCAAAGTCAGCATAGGTGATGCATTGGTGATTGGGTAAAATTAATTTTTGAATAGCGTGTATGGGGACACGTTCTAACACA